TGAACAAGTAATTCACAGTGTGAAGATGTTAGAAAACTTACGATCGCCTTCATCATCTGCTCTGAAGTAAAATGGAGAATCTTTCATATTTGATACAACTATTTCAGAAAATTTGGACATCTGCACAAACTTTTTCAGAGTTGATCGGTTCGTGTATTGGTTGAACCATTTTGTGTTCCATTCCATCGTCGAATCGAGTTCCAGTTGTTTGGAGTACTTCTCAAAAACATGCGCATGTTTTTTCCCTTTTGCCATTTCATTGAAAGCAAACATGATGTTTTGATAAGGAACTTTGCGTTGACGAAGTTCGTCTCGGACACCACCTTTAAGATAAGTACAAATCTTCAAAATCGGAGGTGAATCGGTTGAGTTCTGGGGCTATCGTTGAGAAGATTTTCGCGCCAATTCGGTCAGTTATAATTATTTGAATGATGAATTAATGAAGCAGGGAATGGGAGCTTCCCAATGAAAAAAATTACATTGAATTCCGCCGTGTAGAACTCCGGATTTTTTCATAAAGCTGGAATCACTCCCAAAAAAAGCAAAAATTGTGAGATGAATTTTCAGAAACCAATTTTTGACCTGAAAATTTTGGCAATTACTCTTTGACTACACCACTCTTTGACTACACCTACTCTTTGACTCCACATTCTCTTTGACTACGAAATCTCTTTGACTACATTTATCTCTTTGACTACACTTGTCTCTTTGACTACAAAGTCTCTTTGACTACAAAGTCTCTTTGACTACAAAGTCTCTTTGACTACACTTTTTAAATTTTTAAAATTTTCTGCAGTTTTTGTGGGCGTTCTTACAGAATATAAGAAGAATTTGAGCCTAAGCCTATAATTTTAAACAAAAAACTGACAATTCCAAAAATAAATCACAGTGAAAAAAGTACTGAAATTCGCGAAAATCAGCAAAATTCTCACTTTTTTTCGCTGAGATTTCCAAAATTTTATTATTTTCTGTACAAATCAAAGGCTTAGGCTGAAACGGTTACCGGAAAACTGGTGTTTTAGCCTAAGCCTACAATTTGAGACAAAAATCGGAAACTCCAATAAATTCAGTCAAAAAGTACTATAAAACAAAAAAGTGTAGTCAAAGAGACTTTGTAGTCAAAGAGACAAGTGTAGTCAAAGAGATAAATGTAGTCAAAGAGATTTCGTAGTCAAAGAGAATGTGGAGTCAAAGAGTAGGTGTAGTCAAAGAGTAATTGCCGAAAATTTTCAGAACTCAATGTTATTTGATTCAAGTCCATCTAAAAACATTTTTCAGATTGCTATTTGGCACTTTCAAAAAATTTTCTAATGAAAATTATAACTGGATCATTGAAAAATCCAGGTGGTCTTATGGGGTTATTCATGTAGCGAAAATATGTATTGAAATGCATTTCCGCGCCCACGAAATTCAATGCATGAGCGTCGCGAAATGTATTTCAAAGCATTTCGCGACATAACTGTAAATGCATTTCAATACATCGCGTGGCGAGTTTTTTTTTCTGGAAAAGGTATGCGCCTTTAAAGATTTTCCCCAGAATTCCACCACAGTGGCGATGATATCAGATCTGCCGGTCTA